CCATTTGTCATTTTAGCTTTCAGAAGGGTGCTTGCAAGCACCCCCTTTGCGGCCGCTATTTGCCCTCAATGAGCACTTCTGAGGTGAGCTCCTCAGCAGACTTCTACCCAACAGCAAAAAGCGGCATTATGTCATGAAAGTGTGGTTCATGAAAGAGGAAGGCCGCGAGGGTTTAGGGTGTGATTTGGGACAGGTCCAAATTGTATGCTGGGGTCCGCTCGGTGGACGTGTTCCACACATGTGCAGTAGATCGGCTTGAACAGTAAACAATCATGGCGACGTCCATGCAGGAGGAAGAGCAATTTCCCTCCGCAAATTATTGCACATCTAGCTGTCTTTATATTGTTTTATCGACAGATTATTGAGGTGTGGGTAGCGACGCACTTCTTCACACAGACTCTCTTCAAATTCGATGTCCATGTTGTTTTTCCAGCGCATATGCAGTTGATGCTTTTTTAACCTAGTGACGATCACAAAAAATGGGAGGTATGTGGATGTCTGCAAAGATCCTCCGCTTACACCCTCCAATGATGATTTTTACGTCACATGGACTCTAGCGGAACCTTGCGCACACAGAAAGTATAACACTAGCTAAAGTGCGCTGCAAAGGGGGCGCTCACGAGCACATTTCTGAAAGCTAAATTGACGAATGGGACATCCTACGGTCTCGAGGATTTAATGGACATGCGCACGCGGCAGCCAATGTAAGTCTGCAAGAGCGCAAGTCCACATGAAGTGTGCCATTTGGGACAGGGCCTAGGTGGGATATTTTAGGGCACGCTTTCTTACATCGTTATGCCAGTAGGTGGCGACTACGGCCATCCTTTTAAATTAGGCAGGTATTTAATAATTCACTGAACCAATTTGTTCACAAACACAAATTCATTCAAAAACAAAATGCCATTGCAAGTTCTTCGGAGACATGAATGATTGATTCTGCTTCATTTGAATATATTTTAATTGGTGGAGAAAAAACAGACAAAATGACTGCCATAAATGTAAGTTACTTAATATTCACTTTTGTTTTGAATGGTTTAAGCAATATGAAATTCGTAATCTGTTTTTGTGAACACTTGCAACAGAATCATAGTCATAGACATGCTGGTATTCAGAACAGCAAGACTGTGTGCAACAGACTGGTTACCTTGAATGCTTCTCTTGAAGAAAGCTTTACATCCCTCACAGGACCAGACTCCATAATGATAGCCAGAGGCATAGTCACTGCACACCGCACAGAAGCGCGTCTCCTTCTCTGAATCAAACCCTCCTGTGCCTCTTGATCCGGAGTACAACTCCTGCCTGTCAGTGGCACTGCACAGCTCCTCACACAAACCAACACCTGCCTGCTGAGAAGATACCACACTGGACCTACAGACAGAAAGAGGATAGAAGTCAATATAGAGCGCAGTGGATGATGATAGCAACCAGGCTAAGCACCAGGCAGCTCACCACTGCAGAGAAACTGACTTTTGTGTTGTACTGATTCACTAGTAGTCATGCTTCATGTTACAAATAATTAAAGCTGCACCAGTATTAAATCTGGCCAATATCGATGTGGATAATTATTTCCATCTTAGCTAGATTTTAAAATCAATTCTATTTTATCTAAGTACATCTAAAAATAAACAATAAAAGCTAAAATCAGTAGGTTTAAAGGTGACAAGTGAACTTAGGCTTCGCAACATTATTTATTAAATAGAGGAAAAAAGAGGAAATGCACAATTAAATATCCAACACTGGCCAATATTGGAAAAAAATAACTAATATCGTCCGATAACCAATATGGTACCATAACATTGTGCATCCCTATAAATAAATAAATAATAAATATAAATTATACAAAAGACTTTGTAATTTTGTAATATTCAAGGAGAATATGTACGTGACTGCAAACGGGACAAGTGTGGCCATCCCCATTTCCTTCTGACCTCTTGTTCCAGTGTTAGTAAATATTTATTTTATCTTTAATTCTGATGTCCAACAGATTTATTGCGTAACCTCAATAATGGACTGCAGTGCTGTGCAATGTCATCACATGACAACTGGGGTCCCCAAGCAGCCTAAAGCAATGGATGAATTGCCACATTTTAAAGTGAAGTTAATATTCTCATCATGTCAGAAGTAAACAACAAATTTATACAATAGGCTTTACTAATAATAGTCTATTCAACATATGCTGTAATTTTTATTAATATATTAACTGTCCCTAGATATTCTCTCAGTTCTTCTGAAAGTGAAAAATGTTCTTCCTGTGTGTTCAGACAGTACCACTGTTGTTTTCACTAACTGTACTTTCCTCAAGGTCTAGAGACAGAATTTGATCAGATGCTCTTCAAATGTACATTTCTTTCTGTGACGGGTGTAATTCAGTGCCCACGTCGTATTGTGGTGTTTACAATCCTGACCTTCTTCTTTCCAAGAAGTTAAGAAATACTAATAACAGCACAAACCTAGAACATAAAATAACAACAAATAAAATAAACTCTAATTAGTCAGAGAGCACTCGATATGACCTGCAGGGAAGACATGTGTGAACCACCATAAAATGAAGTAATACATATTCTCCAGTTCTAAAAGAAAACAAATGCCAAAGACCATCTAGCATTAAATGCTGGTCATACACAACCCACAAACCTATAGCCACAACCTATTAGGCACATAAAAAAGATGTTTACTCAATGCAGTATTCTATGTGTATGAAATACATGAAACACATTATTTTTACCATACATTTTACCTTTGAAATATTGTCAATCTCCATAATGGCTAAAAAAAAAAATAGATTAAATGTTCAAATGTTGGCTAATAATGGTACTCGATTTATTACAAAGTCATGTTTGTAAGCAAATTAAGCATGTTCAGAAAATGTGTATAATGTGGCAGAAATGTTTCACCAGGCTTTGTGTATGTAAGGTGTTGTTTATAAAAATTAACCTCTGTGAGCAGGTATCCAAGCAGGATTTGAGTGCTAAACCAAACATTATGCCTCAATGAATAATAAATCAGGTTTAGATGAGCTCCAGAACCTCCTCATCTGATTAACTGAACACCTGGCGATATTTTCATGTCTGTTTTATAATCTTAAACATCTTATATAGTTTATTTTCCTATTTACTATTTTAGTTTAACCTGGATTTCACCATGAAAATGGAGACTTGATGTTTAAGATACACACAAAAATCTCAAAATGTTCATTTTCAATGTTTATAAAAGTTTTTAAATCCAATATATCTCTTAAAGTTGTGTATAAATTCATAAACTTGTAACTATTCTTTTCTTTCAGAACTTCGAATTCTTCACCTACAAAACCATCCAAAACATGAACAGTATCAGAGCTCGTATTTAAAGCTGAACTGACCTGTAGACGGTGCTAGAAGGGGTGCCCAGGTAGTAGGACACCTGGTGGGTCGAGTGGTGTCCACCACGATGGTTCAGGTATGGGGACAACTGAGGGCTGGAGGGTGCAAAGATGAGAGGGCTGCAGGATCCAGTGCCTAACGACTGCAGATGTTCTTCAACAGGGGGCGCGTGGGGGTCCGGGGGAGCTGGGTAGTATCCGACCGAGGCAGGCGCGGCGGGTGACGACGTGCCGTAGGTCTGTGTGGGGTTTGGGAACTCATAGGATTCATCAAGATAGTTGACAGAGGAGCTGATGCCCCCCACGCTGTGCTCCTCCTTAGGGTACATGGGTGAGACTGTGTGGGCAGCTGGTGGTGAGGAAAGTCCCTCCAGGTCTTCTCTCTCTGGGCTCGGGCTGGTCCTGAGTCGCTGCCTGGCACCAGCAGCCTCTCCGCTGGTCTGCCCTCCAGACATCACCATGGAAACACACACACAGAGAGCATGACTTAAGGGACTATCTGTTCATAAGCAACCATCAAAAGACCGTTTCTGTCTTTTTTTATTAAGCTCAGTTTTTTTTACCTCCCACTGTCTTTCTCAAACTCTCTCCCCCTTGTTCTGCTTTGCGTCCGCCCTGCTGTTCTGCCTACTCCTCCTAAAAATACCTTCCTCTCTCTTCCAGTCCGCCTTGGGCTTAAAGGACAAAATGTGATGTTTTTCTAAGATGTGTGAGTCTGCTTTCATTTTTCCTTCTTTCTTTCTTAAAATACTCTTTGCTTATTTTTCTTTTCCATTTTCTATCTCTGTATTTCTTTAGTAGGGCCTATCTAAAACTGCTATTCTAACAAAAATGTATTTTTGTAGTCTTAAATATTACACTTTAGAAAGGATAAAATACAATGAGCAGCCGTACAAGTGAAAGATGTATAGTCAAGTCTGATGTGAGGTGCTTTTCTATTAAACAGGAAACGGAGAGGACGGGGAAACTGAAACTACTAATAATAGAAAGAACTGCCTGATTATAAACCACTAGAGACACAAGGAATATTATTTCTTGTGGAAACTCAAAAGAAAAGAATCAGTTGTTAAATCCTTTATATAGTCCTCTGATTTATAAGTTTAGCCCCATCACAAGTAGCATCCCCTCGCTGATGTATCTCTGACTTCCTGTGTACTTTTTACTTTCACTGTCTGTGGCGCTGACTAAAAAAAAAAAGGAGTCAAAACTGTTTGCATTTTAACAAGTGTGAGTACATTCGGATGGTATCCTTACTAGCATCTGTTTCCAGAATGCTCATAAATAAGCTTAAAAAGAAATCATCATGGTGCAATCTTCATCACAACAGACTCCGGAAAACCTGGTAAACTTGCTTTGAAATTGCTAGTCAATCCAGTGTAAACAATGAACCCTAACCCTAACTCTCTGAGATGGTGTATATATATGGCCAGTATTTTTTATCAGCCAGAAAGCAGAATGTATTTCCTTTCTCATGACAGAAAATCATTGTGAATTTGTGTTTTGGTTAATGATTAGTACATTTGAAAATTCCCGAATTGCATATCTCGCTCTTCTCTATTGCTATTTGGTCAATAGCAGAAGTTCAAATTCAGGTTCATACCAAACAACACACATATGGATTCTTATGAATTGTGTTTTTTTGGGCATGTTTACATCTGTATTTTTAAGCAACCATACTTGTACGAAATACAGATCAACAGTACAAACAAAAAAATCATAGATTGTGTAAACTATGATCAAAAGATTGTCAGGTTTCAAAATGCCATTATTCTATTCTAAGGACATTAATTAGGTTAAGATTTATTTCAGTGTTTGATATGCAGAATCGGTAGGATTCATTACGTGATTTGCTTCCAAACAAAACAACTGTTGCATACAAATACAAGCAAAGATAAAACAACAACACATTTGTTTGGCATGTTGGTAACTGAACCAGCATCCTTAGTGCATTTTAGTCCTTCATCTCTTGCTTCCTAGTAATTTCTCTCTTTTCTTTAAAAACAACCCTACTGTTCTCTGTGTGGACTGCAAAACTGAACCACAGCATATTTGCCATTAGTCATCCAGTCTGGATCCTGAGAGCTGAGCTTCTCAGCCTGGCCTAGCTGTAAGCCCACCTGAACATCAGCCTTCAGTGTCCTGAGACTGCAGAGAGGGGCAGGTTGGAACCCCCTCAACGCTTGATCAAACCGAACCGTGTGCTCCCATTTCCTATCTCCAGTAAGCTTCCTGTAGTTAAGGTCGCCTTTGAAGATAATCAGATCAGAGCCCTGGAGCGTGCTGTAGAGATCAGCTGCATCCACCGCCATGTCACAGAACTCATGGGGCAAGGTCCAAAAAGAGTGGTCATGGTAGGACCAGGTACCCTCCTTCATGAAATGCTTCCATTGGACGCCGCTGGCTGACATCCACTTGTGGTTGGATGCCACGGTCTGCATGATGGTCCACTCAAAGTCTTGTTTGGTGACGTCTGAGACGAACCACGGGATGGACTTGCCATGAAATCGGATTTGCTTGGCTAGTCCGGCAGAAACAAGAAAGCTAGCAAGGACTAGATCGGTTACAAGCTCAAAACCAGCGTTGTCTAAAACAATGTCCACTCTGGCATTCTTTATCCCTGAGGATCTCGATCCTTGAGCAGCAACCAGCATTGACCAAACCATGTTGGAGTCATCCACTAGGATGCAGCGCTGGAGATCAGGAAGAGAATCGATGGGACTGGACTTTTGTGAGTTGTCCTGACCGGCAGAGATGGACAGATCACACTTGTTTCCCCACAGAGAGACCTTCAAAATACACAGTAAACCAGATTATGTGACATTATTGTATTACCAACAGCGTAATATCAAATAAGTACAAAAGTGTGTGCTGAAAACAATAGCCACCCCTAGGCATGTTACTTAGCACCACAAACTGGATGTCATTTGGGTAACAAGATTTTCTGTTCTAAATTAAAGATGTGACTCTTTAAGCTTATGGTTATGGCTCACTGAACTCAATTAGAATCTTCCATTTTCACGCAAACAAGAACAGATGATTTTCCTAGTTTTTGGTATTGTGTTCTGATGACAATGTCCCATAAACAATTGTTTTTAATGGCAAAGATCATTATATGTTGCAGCTAAAATCATGAAGACACTGACCTGAAGTAACTTGAGAAAACTGTCTCGCAGCTGAATCTCAGTCATATTCTCCATGTTGGTGATGAGCTCCTGAAGGTATGTACAGAGGGATTTAATCGCCTGTTGAGATTCAAAGAAGCTTTGCATCTTTCCCTCATTAAACTCGTCAAACTTATCTATTGGTGGACTGTGGAATCATAATGAAACAAGTCCGTTAAACAATTCAAAATGTACCAATGCAACATGGAGAGTACAATTAATCTTGGTTAATTATTAATGTTATTATTAATTACAAAAATACTTTTAATAAGATTGCACTTTAAATGACTATCAGTGCCTTTAATTTACAATGGATCTAAAATTGATGCAAACTATTTCACTTATTACTACACTATTGCATATCGAAGGCAAGTCATTCCTTTAAATTCATTTAGACCTGTTCATATTTCAGAGGTCTTCCTTATATAAATCTGTCCTTTTATTTAAAAATATTTATATATATATATATATATATATATATATATATATATCACTACATCCACATCCAGCAGCAGCATTGCCACTGAAATGAATGTGTCAAAAGCTGGTTAGTCACCTGTATAGACTGCATTTCTAGACAGGCATTATATGCGCGTTTCGGCTATGCATGACTTGGAACTGTCAATGTTGCCCAAAAATGCTGTTTAGGTAGGCGGTTGTTTTGGAACACAGACATTGACAGATTGGTAGGTATGGCGTTATTTTAATGACAAAAGTCACACAAAACCGGCTGCACGTGTTAAAACGTGTCTCTCCTCTCACTCAAACTGTCCTGTGCACTCGCAAATCTCTCTGTGCTCATGCGCTAGATATTCCTTCTTTTTTCGCACCTGAATTAAAAGTTTAAACGCAATTTTTAAAAAGTATCTCAAAACAGATTTGTTCACTAAAGGCCTTTCCTTGATTTTTGTTTTAACATAAACTGGTTATTGCACTTTGTTTTACTACTTTATCTCTTTTATGTTTGTATTTGCATTTTCTTTTCTGTGAATGCACATATGCATCTCTCTGTAAAATACTTTGTAAACACTTTTAAAAGGTGCTATATAAATAAAGCTTTAAACAATCAGACCTCCACAACTGACCGATGAAAATACTATGTGAAATCTAATTGGCTGAGAGGGAACTGAACCTGGAATTCTTTTGACAATCAAAGATGGATCTTTAATTTATTTCCAGTTTAATAATATTTAGCAATGTTAATGAAATGTGGCCTATATTAGAAATGGCTAGGAATTGGGTGCTTGGATGATTTGTACATATAAATAACCTCTGTCCAACTGGTTGGTCTCTGAGCAACTTATCTAAAAACAACTTAGCCTATAGTCTATGGCTCTAAAGACTTCATATAAAAGATCAATGTTATGTCATAATATGTCAGATACCTCGACTGAATTTAAATTCATTGCAATAAATTCTCAGTTGATATGATGGCAGTAACAATTCCTATCAAATCAACACCAAATGCAAAAATAGACGTAAATGATGCAAGATATAACAAAATAAATGTTCTGGTAGAATTACTGTTTGGACATTTATTGGGAGTTTTTAAATTTATTTTTAAATCCAGTGTTTGTTTTCAGTTCTGATTTTAAGATTTTTTTTTCATGAAAACCCACTTTATATTAGATAAACATTCAATGTCACTCTCAAACAGTGAATATACAGTTATATGACAGTTACATGTAATTACATTATCTGCAAATGCATTAAACCCATAGAATATAATGTAGAAATGTTATGTCAAATATGGGAAATTCATTATAGTGTTATATTTGGTCTCCACATCTTCGACTTAGTAGTATTAAATAAAGAAATTACAGATTTATCTTTGAAATCTGATTGGTTGATAACATTTGACAACGTTTAATTCAGGTGCGAAAAGAAGGAATATCTAGCGCATGAGCACAGAGAGATTTGCGAGTGCACAGGACAGTTTGAGTGAGAGGAGAGACACGCTTTAAGTGTCCGCGTCCGGTTCATAGTTACCAAATCCGCATATTATACGCGTCTTTGGGCTTCTTTTTTTTGTAAAGTTGCGTGAAAAAATCCCAGGTTGCGGTTTTTTGGGCTTATTTTAAAAAATATGGTTGCTTGTTAGGGAAATCTGACAAGCAACTTCGTTTCTTTATTTATGTTCGCCGTATTCTCCAATGCATTGGTTGACACTCTGTCTGCTCACAGTTAATAGCCAACCAGTGCAATATTATAAGTGCTGCAGCGTAATTTGCCTCATTGGAGAAAATCATGTTCAAAAAGAAGGCGCGTGATGCTGTAATCCAAGCGATGATAGAAGTAGACGTAGAGGAGTGGGAGGACTTTCTTTTAGCCTAATTTTGAATTTGTTCAATGTTTTTGTAATGTATTAATTATCATGTGCTGTAATAAAAAAACAAGTAGTCCTATACCCTATACCAGGGGTGGCGAACGTCGGTCCTGGAGAGCCGCAGCCCTGCAGAGTTTTGCTTCAACCCTAATCAAACACACCTGAACAAGCTAATCAAGGTCTGAACAGTTACTAGGAAGCTACAGGCAGGTGAGTTTTAATTAGGGTTGGAGCTGAACTCTGCAGGGCTGCGGCTCTCCAGGACCGGAGTTCGCCACCCCTGCCCTATACTAATACTAAAACTATATAGCCTATACATTTGGTTCGAATAGCCTATATTTTAGTAAGCTATACATATGTGGCTATGTTACAGTTCCCCTTTGAAGCTCTTGTGTTGCTCTCATTTTCCATCTCTCCAAACCTATTCTGCTCACTGGTGATTGGAGATGAGTTTTTTGTTCTCACTTTGTTGCATTTTGCTGATTTTTCTAAAATAACATATCTGTTTTTGCTTTTCAGATAAAAGAGTGGTTTCAGTTTAATATGTTGCAGGTTCATTTATTGGTAATAAATAACATTGATGATTAATCATCAAAAAAAATATTGGGCTTGTTTTTTTTTTAAGCTGCGGTTGTTTATTTTGACTTCTTACAGTTTATAAATGTGTGAATTTCTGTCATTATGGTTCTTTTCCATAACACTGAATGTTGTAACAAAGATAATAAAGAGCTGGTTATTATTATTAAGTCTCTTTCCGGCTCAGACTGCATTGGTTAAGGGTATGCGGCTGTCACGTGATGAACGAATGACTCGGAAAAACCCGAAGACTCGAAACAGCTGAACTACTTGACTAATTCCAGTACAGGACCTATAGGATGTTGCGCATGCGCGACTGAACGAATCACTCCCCGAGACGACTCGTTCTTCCCGAGTCCATTAAAGATTCGTTCAAAATGAACGAATCGTTCAAGAACGACCCAACACTAAATTATTTATGTGCTTTCGCGCTGCAATAATGCGCTCTCGACATTTGTCATTAAAATAACGCCATAGTCAGACTGCTTGTTTGACTAAATGCAGCACACATTTATTCTAACTGAACGACACGTAAACAGACGACACATTTCTCGCCGTAGCCTAATTACATATCAGTGACGTCAACGGTGAAGCAACAAAGCATATATATGATCATAAAGCCATACCCCTCAAACTTAGCAGAGAGTGGCAGAGGGGCCAAAATTCCCTCTGACTCCATCTTTGCAAACAGGAAGGACTAACGTTAGAAGAAAATTTCAACAAACTTTATTTGCGAACGATCGGCGACCAATTCACAAAGTAATGTGAAAATATAAAATAATTGAATACACCCTATGTCCTTTACTCGCATGTCGTCGGAACACTTGCAATCACAAACATTGGCATGTTATTTATTGTAGTCTTATGAGGAATCATGAGGCTGTCGATATCGCTTCGTTGACACTACTGTCCTCTAGTGGCCATGCAAAGAAACAGCGGTTTATGAGACGTCCACACAAACACAGTATCAGACATATGACAATATTCAGATAGTGTTTCAATTACCATAGTATTCAAAAGCTGCTTCATATATTTAATTTAATATAAATTCAGTTAAGCCTGCACTGGTGAAAAAAGAAAACATCTTAATGGTTTGTAGCTGGTCTCAGCCTGGTCTTTTGGCTGATTTTAGAGGAGTTTGGGCACTTTTCAGCTAATCAAGCTGTGTGACCAGCCGGCCACACAGCTAAACAATAGCTTATCCAGTAAAGACCAGAGAGAATCAGCTTAGTATTTATATTATAAACTATACCTTTAGTAATGTCTCAAGATGACTTTTCACGGGCCTCTTTAGGGATCTAAGGGGCTGTTACTGATTTACTGTCATTGATTTAAAAATAAGTCAGGTTTGTTTTATATATGTAATCTACATGTACAGTAAATGTTGCTTGCTTGATATGGATAGCCTACTATACTAATTTCTAAACTATTAACATTGTATTATTCTATCTACAGACAACAGCAGCAACCATTTAATAATGCTAATACGATTTTCAGAAATTGGAAACAGAAACCATAGTCCCAGATGCCTTTTTCTCCCCACCAGACCACATGTCCCAAACACAGCTTGTATTCTCTGTATGGAGACACCACCCCCAACTTCCCTTTCCTTGTTTTTTTGCAAACCCACAACTTGAAGTTGGCATCCTCATTTTGCATTCTTAAACTTCCAGGCTGTTGTAGACTAGTCTTTTATAAAATCTTGACTTTTTCTCACAATTCTTGTATGTATTTATTCATGTTATTTATTATCTTATTAATTTCCTGACATCACTAGCAGGCCTGGTCAAGCCAGCTCACATCCTGTTCCCCTTAGTGTAGTGAAAGCATAAAACCTCTGGACACAAGCATACTAAAAAAGGGGGAATATATATATATATAAAACCATGTCCAGCTTCACTTGAATCATTCAGAATGGAACCAATGCAATGATTTTCACAGGGTAATGATTCATAAAAAAAGATCTTAGGGAAATTAAATTCCTTTTACAACAACATGTAGCTATTTAAAGGCTAGATGTATTTAAATCACTATCACTGAAATATATCTAATGAAAGAACATGGAAAAGGCCATGTTAATTCTTCACATTAAAATAAATGAATTGATTAGTGAGAACAACATAAAACAAGGATAGTCTTTCTGGGACTAAAATGAAATATTTTTATTTGGCATATAAAGATAAACAAACAGCATATATATATATATATATATATATATATATTTTATTGTATAAAGATTTTAAAACAAGTATCTTTTAAAGACTTCCGAAAAAACTAACCAGCAGAAATTAAAATAAATAAAAACTAAATAAATAAATAACCCCACCCAATAACCCAATCAGTCATATTTATTTAGGTTTGTTTTGCTATTTATTTAATATTTTAAACAATTTTAGTCACGTATTTATTAATTTACTAATTACTGAGCGAATGAATGATTAAATAAAGAAACGCTCTATTTGTGCGTCTGGTCATTTATTTCAATATATATTTATTCAATATTTTAATATATTTATGTCGTTTTTACCCAAAGGATACGTGAATAAATATATATTTTGTTGAAGATAATACTGATTATGTATATTTAAACAAATCAGAAGCCTCATTACGTTTATTGCAGCCTGTGGGTGTGAAATCATAGTGCTCCAAACAATACGCGCATTTCTCGTGAGCCCATTTCTCTTGGCTGTAAAAGTGCAACTGAAATGCAAATAGCCCTTCTGCGTGTATCTGTCTCGATACGTTATCTTCGTGTGGGGGTGGGTAGCGTGACCTACGGCTATCCAACTCCACTAAAATCCGTTTATGTGTAACGTTCACCAACGATCGTCGCCCCTGAACGATTGCTCAACATTCATCTCCGCCGCACCGTGAACACACGAGGAGAACGACCCCCGTAACGTTCACCAGTGTGCTCTCATTTGGCGGCTCTTAGCGCCAAAGACCGCTTGTTTTGGCATCCCAGGGAAGTGGGTTTTACAACCGCTGTTTTTAAGCCCTTTTACACAGTCATGTGATTGTAACGTAACCCGACCGGAAAACACCGACGACCATCGCCGCCAATGCTGCGTTTGAGAGGAACAGAGCAGCTGCGAGCCCAACGGACAAGTCCCCCGGTAACAGACAACAACTCGCCGAACTCCACACACTCAAGCGGAGGAAAGGTACTTGTGTTTACACCCGTCAACCTTTATCATTTAGTGCTTCATTTCTGTATTTGTTGTTTTTCGTTTAGTTTATTTATTCGGTGACCATCCCTTCCCCCCCGTGTGTTTGTGTGTCCCCGTTTCACGAAGCTCCGTTTCTTTGCTTCTCGTCTCTGATGCTCCGTTCTGGGGTTAGATCGCTGTTCTTGTGAATTTCCGGCAAAATCAGGGTAAGCTCGCTGGATCATGTGCTGATCGAGCAGGGAGCGTTTGCGCGTGATCGTATCAGTCATCACATTTCAGTTTTTGACGGTTTATTTTCTATTTGCGAAGAAAAACAGATTGCGGAAGTGGTCGGTCTCTGCGGGAGAGCTGTCCGTTCCACGTGTCTCTGTAGTGGGAGGAGCTAGTTTACAAACCCACAGTGAGTGGTTTGGAACTGGAAGTTAGACGTGTAATCTCTCTGTGTGTGTGTGTGGAACTGCAAAGCTATATATTATATTTAGGTAGCAGGAAACACCTGTAAACCGTTTATAAGTGTACTTGTATTGGAATATACAAACAGTGACATGACAGATTTGATCCATTTCGATGGTTGCTGAATGCCTGGTGACTTATTGAGTGAAAGCTTCACTCAATATGTTTAGCTAATTAAAATGGTTTTGCACAAAAATAATTTAACAGATTTTTATGAATAGTCTTCGAAATTCTGACACATCAGTCTTCTAGAAAAGGCTGTTTTATTCCACTTCCTCTTGGGTACTGCCATGTTGACATCACATGACACATGCAATGAACAGTAGGTGGGCAGCAGTCTGTTCTGGAACTAAAAACCCCATTCATTTTCTCCATAGGGGAAATGATCTTTAACAATAACTTCTAAATCTCTACTGTGAGCTACGCGGTTATTAGTAGATGGTGCATGTTTTTGTTGAAGCCTTCAGTCTGCATT